CGGTACCCAAAGGCCACTGCATTAAAGGAAAAATCTAATTTAAAGAGAGTTATTAGCTATAAAGGTAACATTTGCAAAACAAATGCGTCATGTTTACCTTCACATGGCCCAGCTCAACAAACTACTGTTCTTATTATTCCTACTCAAACGCATTCATAAATATGGTGACCATGCAGCCCCTCTTGAACTCAGTTCTGCATGGCACTTGCAACATTATTGCAACCCAACATTAGTTACCATGGTAACAGACATCTGCATGGTCCTGGTCATTGACCTTATTTGTTTGGAACGGAAGAAGAAGAAGAGGAATAAACTTAGCAAAAACAATATGTTTTCCTTCTGCGAAATTCAAGGTAAACATAATAATCTAGCTGCACTAGTAATCTCCAAGGTATGCATACAGATACACAGCTGTTCAAGCCATTCTTGAGAAAGCCTTTTCTTACGATGTGTTGGTATTAGTGTACCCTGCTAAATCAAGAGAGATGATTTTACTCTTGCTAACAGGTCCTAAGTTGATGGTAGGCTCAATTGTATTATTACGTTTCTACGTATACCAATCTGGCTCGGTTTAAAAAAAACTTTTTATTAGACCCAACTTTTTAGATTTAGAGCGACAAGGCCGGTTGTTACATGAGGCGAGCACGAATTCTGGGCCATCAGTCACGGCGAAATACGAAATAGTTGATTGTGTAATTTCTGGGGTAACATTCTAACGCAGCCCCAATTTTCTGGGTCAACCCGATCGCCGCCCGGGTTCTCCATATCGATCTTAAGAGTTAAAAGGTCGACGGGATCCGAAATGACCGGAAAATTGTCTTACGGAATGGACAACAGACATCGGGCATGATGAAAGTATCTTAAAAATGCTCTTAGTACAATCTCTCAAATCCAGTTTATGCGTACTTATTGATCGTGAGTAGGGAACCTATTTGCCATTCCTTTCATTCTCTTTGCTAGAAAATGCAATTTCAAAGCGGATTTTCGCTTAAACAAGATTATTCCAAGGCAATTCCAAATTCCTGTGTCCTGTTGGCGAATGTAAAATCTGGTTAAAAGCAAACACGTTCCCAAAGTTTCTTCTAAATTCCATCAACATTCCAATAGATTGATTGCATGGCAATGGTTAATGAAAAGGGACAGGAGAATTCAGAGAGCCCCCATGTTCGTGGAGAGCCACATCTTTAGCACTTAATCAAAGAGAGGGGTTCGGTCCAGAAGGCAATGCCTAAAACTAATCAATCTGAACTAATTTTGACTATCATTTCTTCCCTACAGACAAATAGACAGACAAACAAACAAAAACAGTCAAGACAATATGTTGTCCTTAAATGTACAAAAAGTCAAGGAAACATTACTAATTTTAGAGCTTTATAAAAGTGAAGCTTCTCCTTGATGCTTTCATTTTGGTTTGTACTGTGTTTCCTGTTCACCCTCGCAGTGTAACTCGCAGCGACAAAGTTATATTCAGACATTGGTCCAGTCGGGAAATAGATCACAACTCGGAAGAATTATTGTCCCAAAAATCTTTAGCAGACGTTATTCTACAATAACCCGTGCCAGAAGAGCACAGAAGTTAATTGCCTTGTTGCCTTTGGGGCTGCCCAAGTATCGACCAGTCGCCAGAAGCATGAAGAGTCTTAAAGAAGACACTGTCTTGTGTGACAGGAAGACATCCTGTGCATACTTAATCCCCAGTGCAGTTTTCAGGGCTCGGAAACCCAATTTTTCAAAACCAATATTCTAGCCATTTATCTACATACTGAGTTGAAACCACACTGTCCCAATGTACATTGACCCTCATGGAGCAAAGATTTCCAACATTCTGACAGAAAATGGTTACTGGAAGGACCCTGGGCTGATTTTTAGGATACCACCCAGAAAATAAAGGACTCATCTTGGAGCTTGTTTCTGTAGTTTTAAATGCCCAAAGTATGAAATGCTATAATTAATAAAACTCAAATGAGCTAATGTGGAGCAGTATGTGTCAATATCACGAACATTGCCTTATTCAGGATATTTCCAGTTTTTCTGCCTTGATGCCTTTAAAGAAGACACTGTCTTGTGTGACAGGAAGACGTCTTGTACATACTTAATCCCCGGCAGCGGTAGGAAACTGCTGCGTAAGTTCCGCTTCGGTACTTTGATGATCAATAAACCAGTAACAAGTTCGTCAGTTCCAGGGAGTAAAGGGGCGCCTTGGTTGACCCGAGGCAGATTTCATGCTTTATGCCATTACGGTTTACACAGAGGAGTTTGGACGGCTGTTCCTGATTCATTCATACTTTGGTTAGGAGAAGCTCAATATGAAATACATTGCGTCTTGCTGAGACGGACAAAATTAAATGATGCACAATAAAGTCGTCTTAGAAGGTCCCTTTGAAGCACTTCGACCAGGAATGCAATTTCATATAGAATTTCTTCCAAAACAAGATTATCCTGAGGCCATTCCAAATTTCCGTGCTCTGCTGATGAAAGCCAAATCTATTTAAAAACTTAAGTTTGTTACCCTGAATTATATTATCAGACCTACTAAGTACAAACGGTGGAAGAATATTAAGACCACATCCTTCCCATTAATTAATTGACAACTCCTGCTTGGTGTACAAAGGGATGTATATCAAATAATGTCTGTGCGTTGGAAATCCCTCCAATGATGGTAAGCGCTCATTTCCATCTCATACTAGCCACACACTAGGTAAGATAGCCTTATGGAATCGTAGTTATTTACCAGTATTTGCCATACTTTGCATCCTGTACAATTGATGTGCAATAAAGTTATCATCTACATCTGTATATAATAATGTCCCTGTCGACACCAGAATTGCAATCTTATATACCCGTCAGTGGTCCTACAGCTCGTGAAAGGCTTGTTGAACAAGGAAACCATGTCCATGACGGGAGGCATGGCTCTCATTTTTGGACAGCTACTACAAGAACGAGGTCAACCAATAACACAAAAGTATAGACAATTTGTATTACAATCTTATATACCCACTGGGGTCTAAAACTCATAAACTTATTGACAAGTTTCTTTTGACTTACTCGATGTATGTTTCTATTTTATCAATATCCATGAGCACAATACAAAACAATAAGATAAAATCAGGACTTCACAGTATTTCTGTCCCTCTGGATTGGAGCATACACGCTGCAATCTGCTACAGGGTTCCACAGTACAGGGTGGTCGATACAATGCCTTGTTGAACAAGAAGACCGTGCCCTTGACTGGAGTTACGGCTCTCCTTTCTGGACAACCACTACAAGCACGAGGTCAACCAATAACACAAAGCCAAGGCTAAATGAATCCCCTCATCATGTCCCTATGGACGACAGAATTGCAATCTCATATGTCCGTCAGCGTTTCCACAGTTTGGTCGATACAAGAGCTTGTTAAACAAGGAAACTGGGACAATGTCGGGGGCATGACTCTCCCCGTCTGGACAGCTGCTACAAGTACGAGGTAGACCAATAACACAAAAGTCCAGACTGCTTGTATCCCCTCATCATGTCCCTGTAGACAGCAGAATTACAATGTCCTTCACCCGTGAACGTTTCCACTCTACAGGCTGGTCAATACAATGCCTTGTTGAACAAGGAAACCGTGTCCATGACGGGAGCATAGCTCCCCTTTCTGGACAGCTGCTACAAGTACGAGGTCAACCAATAACACAAAAGTCCAGGCAACCTGTATCAAAACATCATCATGTCCCAGTGGACGGCAGAATTGCAATCTTATATACCCGACAACGTTTCTACAGGTTGGTCGATAGGTTGTTAAACAAGGAAACCGAGACCAGGTCGGAGGCATGGCCCTCCTTTCTGGACATCTAGTACAAGTACGAGCTCAACCAATAACACAAAAGTGTAGACTACATGCATCATGTCCCTATGGACAACAGAGTTGCAATCTTATATGCCCGTCAGCGGTTCCACAGGCTGGTCGATACAAGAGCTTGATAAACAAAAGGAAACTGGGACAATGTCGGGGTATACCTCTCCTTTTGAGGTCAACCAATAACACAACAGTCCAGACTATATCATAGGACATGTATCCAGCCATCATCATGTCCCAGAGGACAGCAATATTGCAATCTTATATGCCCGTCAGCGGGTCTACAACCTGGTCGATACAAGATCTTGTTAAACAAGGAAACAGAGGCCTGGTTCTCAAGAACACGAAAGTCCAGACTCCATATCCTCTCATGCCCCTATGGACAGCAAAATTGCAATCTTATATGCCCGTCAGCGCTTCCACAGGCTGGTCGATACCAGAGCTTGTTAAACAAGGAAGCCTCGTCGATACTTCTCTGCGAAACAGGCGGAAAGACTACTGACGGGTACATTGGGTTTTATCGATGCTGTCTTATGAGGGACGGATGAGATATTGACGACTTGATCGTGATATGAACAGGAATGAGGTCTGGTCAGATATGCTTCGGGCGAGAAAGTTGCCGCCTGTTCTAGTTGGCATGTTCTGTTCTGGTTCTTCTTGGCGGTTCTACCCTTGGGAAATGCACTTTTTACGTCTTTGAAATGAGTACCTAGCTTTTGTTAGGGACGTCTGTCGGATCGATGGGACGTTAAATGAAGGCCCCGTATTTGGGAAGAGCCACAGCCCACGTACGTTAAAGAACCCACCACAACTTCCAAAAAGAACACAATTCGCTGTGTGACAGTTCAAATTCTGTTGTCTGAAAGTTGGTGATTCACTACAAATCACCTGGTCGTATTAGCTTGACGGTGATTTACCCTTGCGAACTTCCGGAAGACCTTACGTACACCTTAGACCTTAGATCCTCTCGCATACTTGCATAGGACGAATAGTGTGACATTAATGAAATTATGTAACACTGATGGAGATAGAGTAAAGAGACACTTTTTTTCACAACCGGAAAACCTTGGTTGTGAAAAAAAGAGTCTCTTTACTCAGTGACTTACCAACCTGATGAAACTATTCACGCACTGATGGAGATAGTAAAAAAAGCAAACCAACGAACCTCCGATGCCGGGGCGCAGGTCCATGGAGTAGTTCTCCAGCAGGTCCTCCAGGATATCCTGCGTGGGGCCGGTGTAGATGTTCTCCTGTCGCACGGCGGGCTCCTCGTCATACAGGCGGGCCGAGGGTGTCGTCATGCGCTCGTCCTCCTGTGATTGGGCAAAACAGTGTGACGTTATAATTATTGTCCTGTGATTTGTCTAAACAGTGTGACGTCAATGTATTGTCTTCCTGTGATTGGTCAAAACATTGTCATGTTCTCCTGTCGCACGGCGGGCTCCTCGTTGTACAGGCGGGCCGAGGGTGTCGCCATGCGCTCGTCCTTCTGCGATTGGGCAAAAAGATTGACGTCAAATGTATTGTCTTGTGATTGGTCAAAAACAGTGGGACGTCGTAAGTATTGGGTGTACGTGTCGCCATCTTGGAGAGATTCAAAATGGTGGCTCCTCGTCGTACAGACTGACGGGAGTCGTCATGAGGTCGTCCTCCTGTAATTGGTCAAAAACAGTTTGGAAGACGTACGTGACGCCATGTATATCACTGTGGGAAACGACGATTTACCAATGACGATAAATGTCGGGAAAGTGTTGATTTAGGCAACGATGTCATCAGTATAGTTCTTCTTTGTGTAACTGTAGCTATTGGTAAATCCGACATTTTTGTTGAGTGAGCCCTGCATATCTAGGAGCCAACCTTGCGACATCCACAGGTTGCTGTCCAAGTTCGAAGTTTGAAACTTAAGCTTAATACTCCGTAACACTGCCATTGCGGAGGCAGCTGCGAAGGAGTTTTGTATTTTGCTTTACTTGCTACAATATGTCCCATTAATGATGATGAGTTTTAGTGATGTTCTAGTTTGTTAGAGCCAAATAGAAAACGCCATCAAAAGAGTATCAAAGATCATCAAAAATGTATCCGAGTATTTGTACCAATCCGACTGTCATAACAGCTTACTTTCTCTAGGCCGTACCTAAGCTTGACAACTCGCCTTCATTATGGAAGTCATTCGTCCTCACTGCCTTCATTCCGAATTCATCAAACATTCATTGTCATTTCTTATCAGACATATATCCACATGAAAGGGCTTTCAACATGGTTGTTAGTATTGGTATCGGGGAATATCAGATATCATTGATTATGATTATCATCGGGAAATATATTGTCAAGTGCAGAATGCCATGCATCAGTCTTTAGTGCTACACCTGTGTGGAATATTTCAACGTTACTCCTAAACTTGTGAACATGTAGATGCATTAATTTGCATTCGTTTTATTCAGTTATAACCATGACAAACCAATAAAGCACTCTTGAAACTTTTGGTTACCACAGGGTCACATTTGTCTATAGATCGTCGTAAGATCTTGATTTTCAAGCAGACTGAGAAAGAAACAACTGCCGACCAGGATCTACGACAGCCTTTTTTCGTAACAAGACATCTGAATTTTTCACAACACATTCACGATTGGCCCAAGAATGCCTCCAGTTACAATGTATGTGACCGACCTGTATCCAAAACCTTGTCTATTTAGTTGTATGTCTAATCAGGCGCGGTTCTTGATGGTCTTCACCTATGCAATAAGTTAGATTTTCCTCAAGCAAGATTCTCTATCCTGAACCTTACTTGAGCATGGTTCTGGATAAAGCACGGTGCCAGGTGGTTCTAGATACGCGTGGACTATCCAGAACCGTACTTGGGCATGCTTCTGGATAAAGCACGGTTCTGAATACAACAACAATTGTAATTGAGAACACTTTGCAGCTATGAGCCATTGATTGCCCACTAAATTGTTTCTTACCATGTGTATGTACAATCAAGTGGGTATTGCTCACTATACTATAGCACATTATAAAAAAAGGCATGCATGTGCCCGGGCCCTTAAGCTTACCATGACGGCGGTTGCGAAGATGCTGATGCCGTTGATTTCGCCGGTGGGAGCGGCGGTGCCCGTGGCCATGGGAGTCGGGATGCCGCGGGCGGACAGTCGGACCACCGTCTGAGTCAGCAGCAGCACCGCGATGATCGGCAGACTCTTCGAAGCCATGATTAGCTGCAAAACGCCATGAGGAATGTGGTTTTAAGATGTGGTACATATACGTATTCCAATATACATAAAATGTTTCGCCGGGAATACATTCGCCAGTACCTTCGAAGTCATGGTCAGCTAGAAAACATTACAAGGAAACTGTTTTGAATTGTGGGTCGTGTGGCGTAACTTGAAAGTGTTCAACTCAGAACCAAGAGGTCCCGGGTTCGAGTCCCGGCATGCCACCTATCTCGTGCCGTTGGGAAAGACACTTCACACGACTTTCCTCACTTAACGCAGATGAAAATGAGTATTGTCTTGTCCTGTCCTGTATTTGTCCTCTGCGTTGGTGGTGGCATAAAATAAGTTGAAAAAAACATGTGTGCCGTCACCATGTGTTGTCATGAATTGTTTGAATAACGAAAACAAAAAATTACATTGGAGTGTTTGTGAAACAAATGGGTAAGACTGAGACAGCATAGTAGCTACCAATAGTGCTTCACCGGATATACATTCGTCAGACTCTTCGAAGCATGGTTAGCTGAAAAAAAAAAAACATCACAATGAATCGCCATAGAGCGTCCCCTTGTAATGCATGCCTTTTGGTTTTTATGAAAGTAATTTGGAATGCTGAGATAACAAAGGTTCTACTAGCACTAGTCAACAGAATAACAACACTGGACTCATCTAAGCCATGGTTAGCTTAAAGAAATGAGATAATTTTAAGATGATAGGTGAACGTTTATCATGAAGTCATAATTAACTGCAAAAACATCTACAATGCAAGATGGCCTTCTTTTTAAAAAAGAAGGCATTGGAAGCTTTCACCAGAAATCAGTGTTAAAACATCTGATGTCGTCACGACAACAGAAAAGATGCGTACACAGAGTAAACTTCAAACCCTTTTTTCAGTAGTCAGACCAGACGGTTTTCAGAATGGATGTCATGGCCTTATAGCCAATCATGGCCCACAGAATACCTCAACTTTATCTCCCCACACCGACACATGTGCAGCCCTCATCTCCACAAATTAGAGCTCAAGATGTTTGCCATGCTTGCCTCTCTGTAACTCTCAAAGCACCGTTAAGGATGGCTCTAGACAAACATATGGCAAATAAAAGCCCCCGTATGCACCCGTATACATTTGTAGTCATAAAACGATGCCCCACAGACACTTTGCCATTATTTGCCATACGACTCGGCCATGAACTTCAAGGAAAAATAAATGCATTCTGCGTATGGTCAGGAGAGATATGCCACATCGCCTGCAAGGCAATCTAAAGTAGGATTGCAGGGTTTTATGGGTTCCCATGTGTGGTATTCAATCAGAGCAAAAGCAGATTTCAGTCGAACTGTACCATACGGATTCTCTACATTAAATACACAATGCAATACGGATTGTCTACTTTAAAAAGCAAATGGGAGTACCATGGCAGAAATAGAATCAAGATTACTTGTCGAAAGTGTCCGTTATTGTCTGCTGTAAGACTATCTGGTATGCACCCGTATACATTTGTAGTCATAAAAGGATGCCCCACAGACACTTTGCCATTATTTGCCATACGACTCGGCCATGAACTTAAAGAGAAAAGAGATGCATTCTGCGTATGGCCAGAAGAAATATGCCACATCGCCTGCAAGGCAATCTAAAGTAGGATTGCAGGATTTTGTGGGTTTTCTTGTGTGGTATTTAATCAGAGCAAAAGAAGATTTCATTCGAACTGTACGATACGAATTCTCTACATTAAATACACAATTCCATACGGATTCTTTACATTAAAAAACAAATAGAAATATCATGGCAGAAATAGCATCAAGTGTACTTGTCGAAAGTGTCCGTTATTGTCTGCTGTAAGACTATCCGGTATGCACCCGTATATATTTGTAGCCATAAAAGGATGCCCCACAGACACTCTCCCATTATTTGCCATACGGCTCGGCCACGAACTTCAAGGAAAAAGACATGAATTCTGCGTATGGTCAGGAGAGATAACGTTACGCTACGTCGTCTGCAAGGCAATCTGAAGTAGGATTGCAGGGTTTTGTGGGTTTTCTTGTGTGGTATTTAATCAGGGCAAAAGAAGATTTCATTCGAACTGTACCATACGGATTCTCTACAAATGGGAGTATCATGGTAGAAATAGAATCAAGATTACTCTTCGAAAGTATCGGATATTGACTGCTGTAAAACTATCCATATATATCGATAAGCTGGTGTGTTACGCCGAAAGGCGGTTATACCGGCTATACAGATACAGATACAGATGCTGTCTGTCCGAGTACAGGAATTTAGTGCACAAAGGAGGGTTTTAGTAGTCTCTACCAGACTAACTACGCTGGCTATATATAGGAGAATAATTGCCAAGGGAGTTTGGCCGCCTTGTAGGTTTGCCTGGCCTCTTCGGAGGGAAAGAAACTTCCACCTCCCCGCGGCCGGACCCCCTTGGCCAATTATACGATCCGTGTTCTACGATCCGTATTCCCGTAGAAAGGCCCGGTGGAGGCTAGATTTTAGTGGAATGGTAGCATTGTAACCGTGTTATCTGCAACACCACTCGCCCGGAACTTCGTGAAAAAGAAATGCCCACTACTTTTTATGCATTACATTGTCTGGGTTTTCCTACATGGTGTTGTATGTATTATTAACAAGAATTCAGTTGCACTATTTACAAGCACAATACGGAATTACGGATTCTTCACATTTATAAAAGCCTATGTAAATATATTCAAATTTACAGTTGTGAAGTGTTACGGTTATTACCTAATGTAAGCTTATCGGTACATGAATGTTGTCAGGCCGCGTGCAAGTTTTCGTCGAACACAGCAGTTGTAGGCGTTCCAGTGATGGCTGTACGATACAATCACTAGACCAACAGCTGAGATAATGTTGTTAGTACTATAGTAGAGCAGTTTGTTTGTATTTTGTCGTATCCATGACCAAAAACTCTGCCTTCTGTTGAACTACCCATGCGGAGATCCTGTTTTGTTCAGGGGAAATATTCAGCGACGGACCACGAATGATACATATGTGTGTGGTCGTGTGGGCGAGGTTAGTCCCCTGATACACAGGGATTTGATAATTTGCAGACTTGCTGACTAATAAAACTTCAAGACATGACTTTCCTCACTTCACTCAGGTGTAAATGAGTACCTAGCTTCGGTTAGGGACGTCCCTCGGATAGGACGTTAAATGGAGGTCCCGTGTTTGGGGAGAGCCACACCCCACGCACGTTAAAGAACCCACCGCACTTCTCGAAAAGAGTAGGGGACCTTCCCGGTGTGAGTGGTTCAAACCTTACAGTCCGGTCTTACGCAGCTTGTACGCACATGTACAAAACTGGTGTGTTACGCCTAAAGGCGCTTTTCCGGTTATACGAAACAAACAAACGAACAAAGACGTTCTTGACAAACAGATGAATGTGTCTGCAAAACGATTAATCTGACGCGTTGAACTTGTAAAATCAAACTATGGCAACTGTATTCTTGAACCGGAGACGCATGAAAATAGATTTAAAAAATATCATCACCACACCAAGAAAGGTCCGCCTCCAAAGCATGCCAAAAACTGGTAGTTTTGGGGGTCTTCATGGTCTTTTAGAGCTTTTATGTGCTATTTTCTGACTGCACGTAGACAACATAGCTGGCCTGGTTGATTTACCCCCGTTAGAACTGGGCTAATCAGAAAACAGCCGAAGACCACCAAACCCCCAGTTCTATAAGCCTGCTACGAAGGCTAAAAAAAGGTCAGGTAGAAATGGGTTATTCTATAACAAGTTTACAAACATATTGGTGAACAACGTAGAGAAATAAAAGGGCCCGGATTCAACAGAATAGCACGCAACTTTTGGGTTTAACCCACGCGCTACTGAACGGAAGAGTTCTGGCACATTGTTCAAGAGGTCCCGGGTTCGAATCCTGCCCGGTGCCACCGATCTTATGCCCTTGGGAAAGGCAATTTACACGACTTTCCTCACCCTACTTTACTGTGAATGAGTACCTAGCTTCGGCTAGGGACGTCCCTCGGATAGAATGTTAAATGGAGGTCTCGTGTTCTGGAGAGCCACACCCCACGCACGTTAAAGAACCCACCACACTTATCGAAAAGAGTAGGGGACCTTTCCGGTGTGAGTAGTTCAAACCTTACAGTCTGGTCTCAAGTTTGACATCTTGAAGAGGAGATATTTACCTGTTATGTCAATCCTTCCACAAATGTAGTAAATCGTCATAAAATGAAATAAAAAATAAAATAAAGCCAGCTGGTTATTTCCCACTAGACTCACCTGTCTGATATGGAACTGTTATACACTCGTCCTGTAAAGTTCAGTCACTTACACTGAATAACTTGTTGGACTGTTTGCGTGGCAAGGGTGGGGGACTTGGACCTGAACAAGGGTTAGAACATTACCAATGTGGGGAACACAGTTTTTATTACTACATTCGTTTGGCATTTGCAAAACTATAACTGCCCCCCCCCCATGCGTGCAGTGGATATGTTCCTAAGTTAGAATTTGTAGTTTACTGTAACTTACGTGAGTGTACGATTGGTATTTAATGATCTTAAAATTACGGTTGTTTATTTTTTCAGTGGTACAGCCTAGGGCGTGGAGTCAAACCCGGGCAGTACGCCGTGACTTGTTTTATTATTATTATTATTCAGGTGAAGAGACAATACAATACAATACAATACAGACATAGTCCGTGTCGGATTAACTTACTCAGCTGACTTCGAAACAACAATAGGGTCCCCACAAGGTGACAGTCTTTCCCCCGTACTGTTCACCTGCTACTTAGCATCTGCACTTTCCACAGTCAGGAGGTACTCTACAAGACCCAACCCTCCAATATCACCACTTGGCTTGCCATTGGAAATGGAATATGCAGACGATGTCGATTTTATCGACGAGGAAAGAGACACGTTAGAAGGACTACTGCCGGTAGCTGCTAACAATCTGAGAGACTCACATCTATTTATGAATGAAGCCAAGACAGAATTTACCCATGTTTACTTGGCAGACACACTGGAA